ACGGCATGAGGGACAAGATAAGTATAGGGTGCTTTAATTTTCAGTCCTTCTCAAGGCTTGAGATGGCTGTCAGAAAAAAAGACAATACCATTTATTCTGTTTATGCACTGAAACATCTATAGTGCACCAGCCTCTCACCTCTCAATTCATTTGCAAGACTGTGAAATAATTATTTAAAGGAGGATTAAGAAGCTGTGGGCCCTGGCAGCTGCCCTGCAGCCAAATGTCTCTGAATTCCTTTATCAGTGACCCATCCCTAAATGGGAATGTTTTCTAGCTATCATACTTGCTCAGACCAGAAAAACATTGCCTTTGCCCTGATAACTGAGGAAGGAGAAACAGTCAGTCTGGATTTCAGATGCTGCACAAGGGCAATGTGTTTCTCCCAGGGGTGTCTGTGTTTATGCTGGAATTACAACACAGAGGGCTGGGAAGTGACTGCCTGGGAAGCAAAATGATTCTTGTAATCATAAAATCATGAAAAACAGGAAGGGAAAGGTATCCGTAAGAAATCACCCAGTCCATCCCTTGTCTTTATGTGGGGCCAACTATCCCAATGCCATTCCCAAATGATGTCTAACTTATACCTACAGGCTTAAATATCACCCTGTCTTTCACAGGCAATCCATCCCAGTGCCATCCCTATTATTAAGAAGTTTTCCAGGGGCTTTGGTGGTGCCTCCTTCATGCAATTTAAACCTCTGGTTATTTCTGCTGCTGTTGGTGTCTCTGCTGGTTCCTAGTATTGCAGTGACCAAACCAGATGCAGTACTACAGCTCAGACCTTCTGCTGAAGGCAGTCTAAGCTCTTGCACTTTTTTTGTATATCCCAGTATATTTGCATTTTTTTGGCAATGACAGAATAGTGTAGACTGATTTCAGCTTGTGACTCCGTAGCTGCACCGTAGAAGTGCCACTTAACCTGCTGTTCCCCATTCTAAATACGAGCCGTTGATTATTCCTGATGAAGTGTAGCACCTTGTTCTCATCCTTATCAAATTTTATTCTGTTTTTAGACCCTTTTTTTCAACTTGTCTGTATGATTTAGAATTCTAGTCCTCTCCCCCAGCATTGCTTATAACCTCCCAGGTTGATGTTACATCTTAAATAACCACTTTGCTTATTCATTATCCAGCTGACTAATGAAATACTGAATAACCCTTGACCTAAGGGAGTCTCTGCAGACCCCATGTGATATATCTTTCCATGGTGACAGTGACTCACTGCTAACTCTCAGCAGTGACCCAGCCAGTTTTGCTGGCCTCAGAGCAGTTTCCTTCATTTGCTTCTGACAATGCTGTGTGATACGGCATCAGAAATCTTCTTGAAGTTGATTAAATTTGGCTTTTCCCTACCTGCAAGGCCTGTTACCATGTCACAGAAGGAAACTAAGCTGGTTTGACTTGATTCTTGACAAATACCCCTTATTTGCCACTCCACTTCTTGTTTTCTAAATGCTTACAAACTGTCAGTGGGATTTTTGCTTCTAAAACATTCCCAGGGATTGACGGTAAACTGGTTTGTGTGTCATTTTCCAGTTTCTCTTCCCCCTTTTAAAGACAGTGTCGTGGTTTAATCTCAGTCGGCAACTAAGCACCACGCAGCCGCTCGCTCACTCCCTCGCCCCCGGTGGGCTGGGGGAGAGAATTGGAAGAGCACAAGTTAGAAAAACTCGTGGGTTGAGATAAAAACAGTTTAATAATTGAAATAAAATGATAATAATAATAATATGATAATAATAATAATAATACACAAAGCAAGTGATGCACAGTACAATTGCTCACCACCCGCCAACT